TTCTATACCCAAGAGCCTAGCTCAGTGGGTACACCCATGAACTGTTGAAATACAGACCAGGTGCTGTGTTCGAATCCAGATGATAGAACTTGACGAGTAAAACCGACTACTAATGAATTGCTTGGGGCCGGTCAGCTCCATGATAATATCTCAAGACCGTCACCCCCTTTTCAAAAAAAAAAAAAAAAAAAAAGAAGGGCATATTACTCACACTAGCCGTTTTAGGGATGTATATGATCGCTTTTCCGACCTTGCCAGGATGCACCTAACGGCTATTACGTCCACAGAGAAGTGCAAAAACTCCTGACGTGAGTACTAGGCCCTAAGTCTCTAGTACCTTCGGCCGGACAGACAGTTCGATGATGATACCTCAGGCCGTCTCCTTTTCTTTTTTTTTTTTTTTTCCCCTTCAAGGAAGAGATCACTTTATTGCTCAATGAAAATTATTGGGCCGGGGACCAGGCCGTCTCCTATTTGGGAAAAAAAAAAAAAAACGAAAACGAAAACGAAAAAGAAAAAGAAAAAGAAAAATCGTCGGCAGACTCCGCACCGCATCACCCATCTATATATATTCGTTACAGACATGCTCTTTCTCATCGAGCGTGTACGTCATTTCCTCCTATTGGGCATCAGCTGGTGCACTCCGTCCACTGGCAGGTCGTGTACAATAGCGAGTGTGGCTGTTGGACCGTGCGGCTTTGATTAATTGTAGCATCCGCGGGGCGAGTTGTGGACGTTGGATTGTGCTTCTTTGACTTTCACTGCGCTTCTTTGACTTTGACTTTGACTGTGATTGGCGGCTCCGGCTCATCATCGCACGGAAAGGACGGTATTGTGGTCTTCATCCGTCCACGTCGTCGTCGTGAGAGAGAGAGAGAGAGAGAGAGGACGTTGAGATGGCTGTGTTCATCCTGCGCATGGCCAGTGCAAGGTCAGCGATGGCGACTTTCTTCTCGGTGGTGATGTGGATGGCTATGGCGGCGCTACCGGCGTTGGGGCAATGCAATTTCGACATCGAGGGGTATAAAGACACCCCCCCGACCGTTCGAATCTGTCCGGAGGGTGATGTGCGGCTCAACCAGACCAACGGAGTTGGACCTATCATTCACAATGTCAATGGGTGGGTAATTATGAAAGAGGTTGTATTATATGCGCATAAGATCTTTTGAAAAGGCAACAATGATTGATTGATTGAATTAATTGATTGAGTGATGGATGGATTGATTAATTAGTTGGATTGATTGATTGATTAGAAGGATAGTATGTGCTCTGGAAAAGGCGACAGTGATTGATTGATTGATCACTAAGTAGAACAAGTGAGTCAAAGTGACTAGATGACTGATTGATTAATTAGTACGATTGATTGATTGATTGATTGACTGATTAATTAGTACGATCTTTTGGTGTGTTTTTTTATCCGATTGTGTAGCTAATTCTTATGGAAGTCAACAACAATAGTTGACTAATTAGTTTGCTTTCTATATGGGTGAGGAATTAATTCTATTTCCCGTAATCGATCTTGTCCGTTTTGCCGGTTAACAGTTTGTTCTTTCTCTCTCTCTCGGGTAGGAACGGCGTGCTCACACTACGGTAGGCTCGGTAGCCACATATTTTATCTCAAATGCATCTGACCGCATTTATGGCCAAACCTGGATGCATCTGTCCACAATTTTCGTCAGTCAAAATTTCGCACTTGTAGTTTTAGTAGGCCCGAATTATTACTTGCACTGCCCGTACTGTTCGCTATTGTTCTTCATGCCGAGTTCTGTGCGTCATAGCAAGGCTGAGTCATACATAGTATCTAATTAAATTCTATTAATTAATATCCCATTTACTTCGGTTTGGTTGTGCTTTTACGCAGCTCCATGTAGACAGGTCGATGTCGGTCAACGTCAGTACAACGTCGGTCAACGTCGGTCAACGTCGGTCAACGTCGGTCAACGTTGGTCAACGTCAGCAAAAAGTCGGTCAACCGACTCAGGTATAAATGATATTAGTTGAGTAATCCCATGTTATTTCGCACTCAGTCTTCGCAGTTAACGCAGGTCAACGCAGGTCGACGTCAGTTAACGTCGGCCAACTTCGGTCAACGAATCCCGTGCAGTTCGGTTGGCTTCGTACTTTGTTAACGTGGAGGCTTGGAGTCATGACAGCCCCTATACCATTCGTTGGCTATACGCATTTGGACCGCATCATAGTCCCTATACATTCAATAATACTTGACGACTCCCAATGCACCTGGTTCAGAAAGAGCTTCAAAATGCATGTACAATTATGTTGAAGTGTAGCGAGGCCCCATGCCTTCTATTCACGGTATAACGGTGCGTACTGGGTCGGATACCCGAGGACAGTTATCGTTGATTGATATACACTTCGTTGGCATTTAAAAAAAAAAAAACACGTCGTAATTATAATGACAGGTGTGACGCGATGACGGTGATTGTACAGGTTCCCTTGGTTTGTAGGCGTGGGTCTGTTTTTTTTTTTTTTTTTTTTTGCCCTTTATTTTGTGCATGGGCCATGCTATGCGAAGCTACTTTATAGCGTTCCAATTGTCACGGATGTCCGGACAGACGGGTCCCGATAATGAACGGGTCTTAGACTGTTTTCATTTGGATTGTCTGCAATCATTGCAATGTGAATGTTGTCGAATGATAATGATCAGGCGGCTGGGTACTCCTTTTTGTTGTTGTTG